GTGCGTACCAAAACGCAAGCCGCGAATATTAGGTTAGCCTGTTAGTCCGTGGAATACGGGATTGCACCTTTAATTTAACGCAATGGCATATCGTGCGGATCCGCTAAAGCATAATGCATATTTTTAGGCGTAGTAATAACAATGCGGTTGTTGAATATTTAACGACTTCCAGCGAGGAGACAACTACTTCTAGTGTTGCTAATTGTATGTTCTTTGATATGATATCTACCGACGAGGTTGATGTCTAGACTAAGTTTTATAGAAACTTTTAGTATAGCAAAGGTGTCTGGACAAACAAGAAAGTACGTTGATTAACCGCCCTATTCCCACAACACTGACAAAATTCATCATATGACTATTGTCACAATTACTGCGCCTAAAACACAATATAAACATTGTTTCACCGTTGTCACTTACTCAGTAGGTCATAACAATAAAACTGACAATTGTCATACGACAGCTTAAAATAAATTTGCGGCATAGTATTAGGCGCAGTAGTAAAGGCAATAGTCAGCCGCTGAGTTTTGTCAGTGGTGTGGGAATAGGGCGGTAAAGCGTGATAAAAATAAGGCCTACTATATATATATATATACTTAAAAAATTCTTTGGACTTAAAGATTTTAAGTAATGCCAATGGATGTATATGACGCAGAAGCATGGACAATGAAAACACCTCAATTTTCGAGTAACAGATTCTGCGGAAGACGCGTTGCCGATGGAGCGATGGGCTGTATGAGTTTTACAAACGATTAAATTACAGCGCCAAAAAGAAGAAGAAAATTACAGCGGCTCTGCTGGTGTGACCATGTGGTGGGCAGAAACGCTCCAGCTCTGAAAGTATACAATGCGGGTCGCGATGCTAGTAGCAGAAGAAGAGAAATGCCTCCTGTGCGTTGGAAACACCAGGTGGAAAAGCATTTGACTTCACTTGGCATTTCCAATTGGCATGCTTTGATGGACTCAGCCAAATTTGATAAGGCGGTTACCGCGCCCATCAAGAAGCAGAGGAATCACTATATAAATTTCGGTATCAGAAATTTTAAGCTCATGTGTGGATTCAGATGACTCACTTCACCCCAAATAACCGATAATAGTAAACGTAAGCATAACAACCGGATTACTCAATAGCAAAACCCCGGAAACATATACATATAACATGAAAATTATTTTAATGTCTTTCTTTTACCAATAAGGTAATACCACGTTTTTAGTCAGTAAGGTATCGTTTAACATTGTTCATACGTAAAAATTATGTATGTGTGCGTGTACATACATATGTACATATGGATGAATATTTTAGTAGGGGTTGGTTTTGTGTGTGCGGACAAGCCCTCAAAATTTATGTAAACGAAGTTTGTGACATACGGCATATGCAAGTGACATAATTTTAATTAAAAAATAGTATATTCAATTGTTTTGGAGGAATATTTTTGAGGTAACTGGGATTTAACTAAGTCCATTTTAGTGATTCGGAAAACAAATTATTGATTTTTCTATATGTATACTAAAACAGTCCCGAAAACCATAATTATAAAAAAATACCTGTTAATCAAAACCAAAGGTAATTTAGGACAAAGTGCGAAACAATTTATATTACTTATACTGCATACATATTAAGCTTAAGCGGAGCAGCAATATGTAGATAAAAAAGTTTCAAAAAATGAGTCTCATAGAAGTACCTGTGAATCTACGCATACATATGTATGTTAAAACAAAATAGTGCAAATATGTACTTACTGAAGATTAAATGAAGATGAAGGCTAAGTTCAGTAGTGGCAGATGCGCTTATTGACGTTTGTGTTATAAAAAACACATCTACATTCAGTAATCGACCTTGTGCATTAGGGTATGTGTAGGATATGCGCATATGTTCATGTGCATGAACAGAGTTCGTGTGCACTTATATTTTTAATAACTTTTTGACAATTTTCACGAAAAAAAAATTGTTAACACAATGTTCAGTATACTTTTGCTTTTTTTTAGTTCCTGGATGCAATTTGGTATCTATTTGATTTATTTCATATGGTAATCCTAATACAAAAGTTATAAAACTTATGAGTAGCATTAGGTTTACAATTACATATTATGAAAACGCCTTTTTTCTTTTTTCTTACATAGATTTTTAGATAGCACATACAAAAAAGAAGGTAGTTTCATTTAAAAAACTATTTGATTAATTGCCAGTTTCACGAAAGCAATTTAAGTGAAAAATGATTTTTTTAGGGATGTGACAGGTATCCGGTAAATATCGGGAATCCGGCTGTTTTTATTTTATCCGACTATCCGGCCGGTGGTTGAAATCCGGCCGCATTTCCGGATTTCGATAATAAAAGATTTAATTTAGAAATCATATTAATATTAATACAGGAAAAAATCAAACAATTATTTTAGATCTCAGTAAACTAAAAATTATGGACTAGATAAAAACTTAAATTTATAAATTGTTCATTCAAAGTTTTAAAGTTGCTTTTTTTATTTCGGATTTGCCGGCAGGAGGAATAGAATTCCAAATACGAATAGCGGTAATGAAAAACATTGGGAGAACTTTTACAGTTCTATGAAGGCAGAATTAATAGCGTTTTCTTTTCTCGAAAAAAGGCTGCACTTATTCTGCCTTGTGTTAGCGCTGTCACATTTTCATGTTCTTTTCTCAGCCCTTTCACAAGGCGTCGTGTTCTTTTCTCAGCAGGTTGCGCTCTGATCCGGCGAAAGTGCTGCCTTTTCTGCCGTCAATTAAACGTGATGGTGAGAGTTGCATGGTTGATTTTTAATTTAATCTTGTAAAAATGCAATTATTTTCCCCATCACAAATAAGTGTTTTGCTTTAAAATTGTTAAAGACTTACAGGCGAAGTGAATAATTCAGCTCTATTAAGTTCTATAAATAAATTGTGATGGAGTAGTATATTTTCTGTTTCATTCTCATATAAAGAACGTAACATTTTATCAGGTTTCAGGGCAACGCAAAGCAAGAGTTCCCATATAAAAGGGCAGAACTTTTTTTGAGAAAAGAAAACGCTATAAGTTAGAGAAACGTTCCTCGATTATTTGGTTTCATAGAGATTCGGATACCTTCCTCATTGAAGTAGTAAAGAAAATTCGCTTATTCTCATTTTTGTTGTTGGTATTTCCGACAGGGTTGAGAACGAAAAATGACACTGAAGATGGCACAACGCCGAAACCGGTTTGTCTCCAAACCAAATTTGACAAAGGATGACGGAAAATCGTTCCACATTACATCAAAATTCGCTTAAGTGCTTTTTCGGTTAAGCACGCAAGTTTTTCGTGCAAAGAAGTATGGGCGACTAATCAAAATATACTGTATCTAATTAGTAATTAAAGTTAAATGTTTTTTTATATATTGCATTATGATAAGAAGCATTTTCGAATTATCGGGCAACAACCTACATCTATTTAACAACGCTTTTATCAACTTGCAATGTTATATGTCCAGACCTAAATATAGCAAAGGTATTTATGGCAAACCTAGTCTAGATATCAACCTCGTCGTAGGTATCATATCACAGACATATAGCCATGGGTAATAGCGCAATTTTTATGGCGCTAGCTCAATAACGCCGGCGACACCTGTGATGTCAGCACACTAACTTAGCGCAATAGGGCAGTGTAGGTACTAAAGGTCACATCGGAATTCAGTTTGCTTCACTGTGAAGTTTTTTTCAAATATGTATACTACTCATACTATAACAAAGAGGGCATGGAAGGAAGAGAAGTGAAGATAATGAGCGCTGTATACATAAAAAAGTACTCAAACAAATTCAGCCTTATCATGAGTTTCATTTTCCCCGAACCGGTTCACTTTTCACTTTTGGTTTCCATGGTTTTACTATGGGCGTATGACAAATTTTCGGGTGAATTTTTTTTTCAGGCGAAGCTCGGGATAAGGCAGATTATGTTCCGAAAAAAAGAGGAACATAAATCAGCAGTACCATGCTGTTAAACTTCCACAAAAAAGATGTTCATTCACAAGTATTTTTTGAGTATTTTTGGAAGTTTCCCTTTAATGCTATATAATGTTAATGTTAGAGCTGACTCTTATGTTAAATAGCAAACATGGAGAGACAACGTAGGGCACTCCGAATATTTAGCCAACAGCATATTTTTATAAAGAAAGTGGACTCATTTTCTACAAAGAACCAATTTTTATTTGTACAATACGATACTTTCATTTCCCAATACCAGGCGCACATACATATGAAGTAGCAACCCAGTAGAACTTGGGAGCATCGTACGATTGCTCCGTGAGTACTCCCTTGGGAGTATACGAATACTCCCCATTGCTCCCTATGCTTCTGTGTATAAGCATGTAATTTTGTATACTCCCTTTAACATTGTATGTCCTAGGAGGGCGAGTAATCCCTTTTACCTCCTAAACGATCAATCGAGGAGCACACACAAAAATATCATCCCACAAACCTCCCAAAGGAGCAATACGGGAGTACTCCATAGTAACCTCCCAGAAACCTCCCAAAAAGACAACAAGGGAGTGCATATAGAAAAACGTCCCATATTCCTCCCGAACGAGCAATAAGGGAGTGCTCCCATTAGAGGCATCCCGGAAGCCTCCTGTAGGAGTAATAAGAGAGCAATGATAACGAACATTTTACATTAGCCAAACAGATTTTGCTATTACAAATTTTTTTATTTAACTTTTTAATCACGTGCATTTGTGCAATATTACAAGATCTTAATAGATATAAATATGAGATCAGATAAAACATAAATGATACATCTTTCATAATTGCTTAATTTTAGAATTATATTGCAGATAAACTATATGAAAGTAAAACATAATAATAATAACGGTAAGATAAGCTTTGAAATATATGCACCTATATGCACATATGTACTCGTATATGATTTCCTGGTGTCAAGGATGCTTGCCTGTTCAGGAGTCCACCAAGCGGGGAAATTGTTAAGTTGACTTTTCTCATCTGACATCTTTGTCACCCACGCGATGTTTAAACCCGGGTGTCATACTTAAATGCTGACACTAATTTGCGCAATCTGAAAAGTATTTAACAGTATATTTATAAGTATGTAATATAATACTTAATATGTTTAAACAAAAGTTGAAGTACATACTAACGGACTTTCATTAAAATCTGTGTGCTATCCAAATTAAATTTTTGTGTCCTCCTTATGCTTCTATAAGAAATATTTTCTGTTGTTTTTTTTGTCTATGATAAATTTTGCCGAAAACACAAAATTTCTTTTAAACGAGGTGCGTATTGCTCTCCTATCAATCAAAAAGAATACTCTTCGATTTCTCGCTTAGGAGACATCACTTTTTGCTTCTAAGCGAGTAATAACGGAGTACAAAACTGACAAATCTCATTTATTGCTCCCAAATCATGCCTCAAGGAGCATTCTTTAATTGCTCGCTTAGGAGATCTCTCATTACGCTCCTAAGCGAGCAATACAGGAGTACAAAACCGACAAATCTCGTTTACCGCTCCCAAATCATGCCTCAGGGAGCATTATTTCGTCGCTAGCTTAGGAGATTTTCTATTGGACTCTCAAACGAGTAATAAAGGAGTACAAAACCTAAAAATCTCTCTTATTGCTCACAAATCAGGTTAAGGGGAGTACTCTTTTATTCCTCACATACACTGAGAAAAAAAACGTGTTGTAAGAATAAACAAATTTTATTTGATTACCGTTTAAAAATGTTCGTTTTTAAATCAAGTGAAAAGTCTTAACAAAATGGATTTTTTCATTATACATACACTACGTATAATGGAAATATTCGAATCATATACGCTCGGATGCTTTTTCATATGTAATTAAGAAAGCATATGTATACAAAGCATGCGAAGCGGTGACAACACATACATACATACATATGTACATTAAGGTTATGATTTTTTTTACACTTTTTTTAAATTTTGATTTGCCTGTGCTTGCATTAAATGAACTTTTGTCCATATATTACTTTTTTGGCGATATTTTTGTTGGTTCGTGAAAATACCTCCCGCGCACACTATCATTTCATTTACAACGCTGTTGCATGGCAAAGTCCCATACCTATTATAAAAATTGGACCGAAATTCCTTTTTGCCTACCAAGTTTTGATTTAAAAACGATGCGTATCAGCACTAAATCCACGAATCTATTTTACTTTAATAAAACCATAAGACATTTGAGAAGAAAAACATGTTTGAATATTAATTTTCTCCACTTAGAAACTGATAATAAATTCCGATATGCGCGGTAGTTTTTTTATAATTTATCAAAATTGTTGTTATTTTTTGCAAATTTATACAATAGTTCATCGTTTGCCACCACAGGCATTTAAATCTAAAAAAAATCATAACCCTAATGTACATACATGGTACGACATCATGCACTAATCGCGCGCTGTGAACTTGATTCAAACTCACCATTTGAAAACACATTTACATATGTGGCTGTAGCTGAGTGTGCAATGACGCTTGATACAATTGGTTGCTACCAAGAGCGTCCGGGTTCAATTACCATCAGACGGAACATAAAATTAAATTTTTTTCTTCTTAATTTTAATTTCGTATAACGAAAAAGCATCTGTGCACTTCGCAACGACATATTTTATAACGTTCATACTGAAATTTAAAACGAGTTGGGTTGGTGCTCTTTCATATGCGAATTTTTTTTAAATTTAGCACGTTTTTTTTAATTCTAAAATTTTTTTCCCTCAGTGTGGGGAGATCTCCCTTCAAGTTCTAGTGGGAAGCTTTCCATACGCATACATTTGTTTGTAGAAGATTGTAATTCGTTTGTAGAAGCCTTTGAAAATTCGCGAAGTAGAATTTTGGAAATTTAAAAATTTATACAAAAAATTTTCTGCTTAGAAATAGAAAACTTGTTACTTCACATGTATGAGCGCCTGGTATTGGGAAATGAAAATATCAATTTGAAAATAAAAACTGGTCATAAAGACAGGTCGCGGGAAAATGGGCACACATTTTTCGTTATTAAAAAAAATTTACATAATATGTACATATGTACATAAACCATGTATGTATATGTATGAAAGATTCGAACTTTTTTGCAAACATTGAAGCGTCCGGCCAGAAATGTAAAACAATATTTTAAGTATATATTGGAATAAACAGAAAATGTATGTCTTTTCTTAACATTATGTTAAATGCTAACATTTAAAAGAAAAAACTTCATAAGTATTCTTATACTTCCTATGAAGTTTTCAAATACTACTGAATGCAATCAACATACTCAAGTACTCTGGAAAAGCGGAACAGTGTTTTATGTAGCAGAGCTCTGTTGGGTAACATTGCTCAGTTCCTCAAATTTATGATGTTCCCTTTTTTGTTCCTATCTTTTTAAGTACTCTAAAATATATGTTCCATTTACTCATGTACACATGTGAAGAGTATTTCTACTGGTATATTTGCAGTTCTTTAAGGTGTTCTTACAAGGTATGTATTTGCATCTGTAAATGTGACTTTTTCAATACATATATAATTGTGTATGTCTGTCAAATTCACAGTCTTTATTTAACTATTTAAAAATACTTTCTTTGAAAATGAAATAAACTAAACTCAGATGATTCTATCTGTGTGTCAGATGAAAATAGAAACATTTCTATTTCGTATGTACGTGCATCTGCTTTGTACAGAAACAAATCTAATTTGCCTTTACACGATATGTTGACATTTCCATATGTAAAAAGTGGCATGTACACATGCAAATACATATCGTGTAAGAACACCTTTTCGGCGACGACCCTATTTAGCTGGCATTTCAGGGTACTATTTTATATATATATAAGGAAAATTTGAAAGTTAGGGGGGGCGGCTGGAGTACCCCCCTGCCACTACCTGGCTACGCCCATGTATGTGTCTCACGTGCTTCTTGGTGTTAATGGCGCTGGCGCTTTTCATATAATTGTGTTGGCGCGGCAACTCCGGCTACAGTGTTGATGCAATTGCGCCGCGCAGCGCAGTGTTACCCATGTCTACAGACATACAATTAGAAAAAGTCTAGAGATAGATGTCGACTCGCCAGAAGAAGTTAAAAATATGCACTACAACGGAAATGGACGACACGCCATTTCTTTAAATGAAATTAATTGATGCTATATGTATGTATGTACATATGTAAGCATATACTAAATGTGAGCAAACAACATTTTGCTTCCATAGTCTTCTATACTCTTTTCACTGCAAGTTGAATTATTTTATTATCTATTACAAAATTTTGTACAGACAAGACTAAAAAGTATAAAATAAATAAAAAAAAACTTTTTAATGTACCACGCTTTTATATATGGACTAAAATTGTAATAGGCCTGATTTGAAATTGAAGAGGAATATATGTATGTATGTGGGTATATTAATAACGACCGCTTAAAATCGATCCCAAACTTGTACTTTCGCTGTAGAAATTTTAGGTATGTGTTATGTTGTATGTCCAGACTACCATTTATACTAGTTGCATTTTTTTGTAAGCGAGCGACAAAAGAACGCTCAACTCGGGTAAAATTTCCTTTTAGCTACTTAAGCAACCCTGTTGGTAGCTGGCAAGAAAATGTGATTAGTTTAACGGGATTTAGATACAAAAACCAATTTAAATAAGTAATTATGCGAGGTATTTGCGTAAAATATATACTCTTTTAAAATATAGGTCACGTATAAAAGGAAGCAAAAATTTCCCTCTCCACTTTCCCATTAACAATTCACAAAAGAGCAGTTTCTTCACTGGCCAACACTAGCCTTCAGGTCGCGTATTTTTTAACCGACCTGGCTGAGCTCGGATAAATAGCCGAGTTTGTGTTGTTGCTTTGCGTGTATTTCGTCATTTAAGCGAGTGTTCTTTTGTAGCTCGGTTGCAAAAGAATGCACCTACTATAAATCTAGCAAAGCTATTTATGGAAAATTCTAGATATCAACCTAGTCTAGATATCAACCTCGTTGTAGGCATCATATCAAGGAGATACAATTATAAGACTCTAGATGTCGCGCCGCCAGAAGAAGTTAAATATTGCGCCTAAATATATGCACTATTTATATACGTAACAGCGGAAATGGACGACAAGCCATTTCTTTAAATGAAATAAACTGCTGCGATATGTATGTATGTACATATGTATGTTTATACTAAATGTGAGCAAACAACATTGTGCTTGCATAGTCTTCTGTTCTCCTTCACTGCAATTTGAATTATTTTAATATCTATTTCAAAATTTTGTACAGACAAGACTAAAAAGTAGAAAATAAATCAAATTAAAAAAAAACTTTTTAATATACAACGCTTTTATAAATGGACTAAAAAGTAGAAAATAATATTTCTCAGTCCCACAGAATTTGTTTTGATAACTTTTGATTTTGAAATTTTAGCAAAGTCGTTATAAACAATTAATGACATTGAAAATGAAAAGCGTGGGGCGCATGTAATACACTTGAATTGATACGAAAAGTAACATATGTATGTATGTGGGCATATGAATAACGACCGCTTAAAATCGATCTCAAATTTGTACTTTCGCTGTAGAATGCTATGTAGTTTGACTATTGTCAATGAAATCGAATGCTTTTCTTCTTATCTTAAAAATGTTTAAATTCTATATTAATTTCGATCATTCTTAATAAATTTTTTGAATAATAAAATTTTATAGGACATATGTGTTTTAAAAGTCGTTAAACTCTTGCATGTCGGCTGATGATTTCACAATGTTATTTAGTTCAAACAATAAGTACAAAAATCCCGACTAGTATTGGGGTTTTTGATGTGGAATTTAAATTTTTCGGTCGCTATTTAACCACATGTGATTCAGGAAACTTGAAATCAAGTTACTTTGAGACCCATGTGATACATAACTTTAGGGGAAGTGGATGTTACCCATTCACGGCATGTGTTGCAACATCGTTGTTTCCTTGGGTCATACTCAAACAGATTATTTATGTTCTATTTGCTATATTGAAGTGAGTGTGTTAAAATATTGATATTTTATTGTTAGGATGTAAGCGTGGAGGATTATAGCTATTGGGCGGCCACTGTGGATGTGTGGT